CCCCCCCCGCTTTCTACCGATCCTTTATATTTCGCAGACGTTCTCGATGAAGTGTCTTTTCTCGTTTTCCGGCGAGTCGATGTCACCTAGAAAAAAAAAAATGTATGCGCAAGAAATAGAAAGAAAAAAAAAAAAACGGTGTGTTGTGTAAAAAAAGAAAATGTGTGAATAATGGATAATAGATGTAGTATATTATGTATATGTGTGTACAATGTGTGTGGGTCACACGTCATTCTCACGTTTTTTTTTTTTTGCGTTACCATGTATTCGATGCGTTGACAGCTCGATGAATCTGGTGTTTTTTTTTTTTTCAAATATTACGAAATGTGTGTCCTGGTTTTTTTTTTTTTTTTTTATGTGACTTTTAGCATGACACATAAGCGCGCGAAAACACACGCTCGCAATGACGAGCACGACCCGACGAGATATATGGCAATAATAATAACACAACCGTTTCAACCTGTCACGATGATTCTAAATAGACTTTTCATAAACGCCATTAATAAAGAATAAATAAATAAGAATTATTACGATATAAGAGCATAGCGACTGACACGTATATATAATACAATTACAAGGCGCATAGATATTTTATAAGCAAAATACAAAAAAAAAAAAATGATTATTGTGTATGTTCATACTGCTTATAGCGAATAAAAAGATTCTGTGTCAATACTGTATTACACGTGTAAACTACATTAGTGGTAGTTCCAAGAGAGAAAGATCAAAACAAAGCAAGTTGCATTCGCAATTGTATTGCTCATTTAGTCCCCAAATAAAAAAAAACTACGTTTTGCCTGTGGAGACATATTTTGTTTTTTTTTTTCTTTTTTTTTACCGTGCAAACGAATTGTTAATAAGATCCACGCAAATGCGTAAAACGCTGACAATTATTTATCACTTCTTTGGCTCAAATTGCTTTGAATTATAAAAAATATTGTTTTGCTTTTTCTCTTTTTCTGCAAATTTTATAAATAATTTTTGTTTTTTACACGCGTGAAAAACACTCGATTGATGTTCTTGAAATTGAGTTTCTTCAAAACTTGGATAATAATGAAATTAAGTGATACTAATTAAAAATTATAAATTGAAAAACTTACCATGCGCAAATCTGCCAAGTAATGTAACTCTTGCTTGTCTCCTCGTTCAAATTCCTCTTCGACAAATTGACTGGACACACGAAGAATTCTCGCGTTCAATTTTTTTGCCATGAAAATCGATGCATCAAAAGTAGATCCGATACATTATTATCCGATACATATGCAAGAGCTCAAAATAAACGATCTGTGATTATCTAATTTTTCATACAAAAATAATTTTTTATTTCTTTTACTTCTTCAGTTTACAATTTACATGTCTTTTTTTTTTTTTATCAAAATCTTGATAATATCTAAAGTAAATCGTGTGTAACTCTCTCTCTCTCTCTCTCTTTCTCTCTCTCTCTCTCTCTCTCTCTCTCTTCGCGCCCGCTATAAATAATATTATCTCCCAACATACTTTTTTTCTTACAGGTAAAATTCGTCGTGTAAAAAATACAATATCCGTCGTTTTTTCTTCTTCTTTTACTGACTAGTTAAAATAGCATCTCTTATCACACACTCGAGATACATTTAGAAACTGTAAAAAAAAAAGAGAAAAAAAATAAAAAATGAAAAGACAAAACGTTCTATATAATTAATGATTAATTTGCTACTCGTGGTGAGGTACACATATTTTTGTATATATACAAGAGAATACAAATATATATTTATTCGTAAAATCGAATATCATTTTTTTTTATACAAAAAAGCCGTGATATGCCGTGGAATGTCGTGTAAATCTTGTTGTCTTATACATCGCAAACTCTTTTATTAACTAAATGTTTGCTCGGCGAGGCAGTTTGTTTACCCTCTCGCGATATATATATTCAAAATCGGTCGTGTGTAACCGCGCGCATATTAAAACCGCGTCATTCGAATATCTGTTTTATTGCAAATACTGTGTGCTTATAAGCGGACATTTTATTCTATATATGAAACCGAGAGAATCTGCGCTCGCGAACGAATCAGAATCTTATAATCTAGAACGAAACAGTACAGTCACGCGGACACCCACACAACACACAATTCCGCGGAAAAAAACCTTTTCTCTATTTTAGATATATTCAAAAAAAAAATAAAATAAAATAACAAAGAATGCACTTTAAAAATAAATGGAAATGGCCTCGTTTCTGACTTTCCGTCTTTTTTTGGAGATTAAAAAAAAAAGACAGAAAAGTCTCTCGATCAGAGCGAATGTTTTAGTTAACTTCGATCCGTGTGAGATTTA